CCGAAGGGTTGGGGGAGGGGGGGGGGTGTTCAACAAATTTCTTCCCCAATCATCAAAGTTACCACGATGCTTTCACCAAAGTTATCACGCCTCCGGTGCTTATATGACCATGCTCTTACACATAATGTAATGTGTGGTATACAAAAGTTATCATGTTGGTGGTGCGTTAGTTATCATGATGGTGATGGAGAATTTACCACGGGAAAAGTTTATGTGTCGGGTTTGATAGGTGAAACGAAAAGATTTTCTGTGCTAACATATTAAAGGCAAAACATGTCGAAACCGTATTTTTCCTTAGCTTGTTCAACAATGAGTTGTACGTGAGATGGTCAGCTCCCTTCATTGATTATATGTAGACCAGAGATCAAATCCCATTGCAAGCACTATTTTTACCCAAAAATCAAAAACTAAAGAAGGAAGGAAATCGGAAGGGCGAGGCGGGCGCGCGCGATCGGATCTCCTAAAAATCGGGAGGCGCGAAAATTAGGGAGGTACATGCAGGTGCGGATGCGCGATAAAATCGGGAGGACGTGCGGGAAAGCTATAGAAGGAAGGAAATCGGAATGGCGGGGCAGGTGCGCGCGATCGGATCTGATGATGCTAGATGCGTGTGGTAGTTTTTGCAATCTGCCACACAGTTGCCACATACATATTTCGTTTATTTATTTTATAATAATAACTACGAATCTCCAGCTTCTGTCTGCGCGGCTTCTTTGTCATTTCACGGTACTTGGTCAGCTCAGTTGTTATTCTGTAGGTCAACCACACCACCACCCCATGAAATGACAGACGCTTCTTACTTTCTTCTGTTAGAAAAAACAGGAAAGGCGTTTCTTATGTATTTATATTCATTCTCCTAGAGAAAATGGTCTGATGTGAAGCAGCACGAGAGACATTCAACCAACGACAAGACAAGTAATGAAATGATTTTTCCGGCGAAATAATATCTGTGTTATGTTCCCCTGTCCGGCTGCAAGTAGAGCGAGCAGTAGGTGAAGTGGAAGGTCCACTGCAGCCTTGAGCCTTGATCATGGAGCAAATGGACGCCGGATCGATTGCTCTTCACTCATGGCATACTCACTAGGCCACCCACATCCTCCTAGTACGTCCAGTGCTAGCTAGTAGAACAGACACTTGCGAAGTTGCGAGCGATGATGCTACGGTAAGCCAGTGGCCGAGCAGATCGCAGCAAGTCGCGGAGGATGCATGGGATGCTAGAAGATAATTAGATACACGGCCGGCTCGTTCGCCCGAGTGTAAGATGAATGGATGGTGGTGCGCATGAGGAGGAGCACCCAGCACGGCGAGCCGGATGCCGATCTGCTGCGACTTTGCGCAGATGATAATACGGGGTGGCAGAGGTAGCTACGGCCACGGCACTCGCAATGGTGCCCTGGCATGGCATGGCATCATTGCGCCGTGCGCCCATGCGCATGTTCCTTGGCGACGCGCTGTGCTGGCTGGAAGTCTGGAAGCCAGACAGAATGAAAGCTGGAGGGGAGTACGAGTATATTCTTCTGCATGCACCTTAACAGAATCTGACTCTGCGTCTTGGCGGCAGGCACTAGGTGGAATCGGTGCCACTTGGCCGCCGAACGTACCGTGCCGTACCGCCTTGGCTCGATCATGCATCCACGCGTACCTTGCTCAGACACCATTTCATTTACCAGTTTTTTCTCGGAGGCCGGCCAAGAGTCTCCGAGGTCGGCCAGTCGGTTGGGTTGCACACGTACGAACCCCACTAGCCCGCTTGACCAAACGAGCAGCGCGTGCGTGCATGGATGGATGGATGCCAAGCCACTCGTGTCGCCGTCACCTTTGCCAGTCGGCCGATCTCTCTTGCACAAAAGCACGGCAGCTGCATTATTCACAGCAGCAGCAACAGGATCGATCGGCGCCAGTGAAACGAGCACCGAGGAGTTTCCGTTTCGTCGCCTCGCCAGTGGCAGAGGCGGAAAAGGCCCCCGTTGCCGCATATGCTTATACAGCCAGCTACTCTGCAGGTAATAATTTGCCCGCGGCCTAGGTATTAGGTAGCCTGAATTGATCGATCCATCGATCGTCGATGCTGCGCGTGACAGTAGCACTGAGATGTTTCCGCTTCTTCACCTCGCCAGTGGCACGGCGCAGAAAAGCACCGCTGCCGCATACACCATGCATACCAGCTACCAGACGAACTACGTGCGTGCGTAAAATGCCCCTCGTCCCTCGCTCCACCTACAGTGGTGGGATGCAACTGTAAAGTAAAAGAGACAGGGGGGGCAGTACATACATACATACATACACACATGAGGTGAAACGGAACAGGGGAGAGACCAATCGACGGTGACGGGTAACTTAATGGTATCACACACGATGGCGATCGTTAAGCCCGTGCATGCAGGTGCAATGTATCATGCATCAAGAAGTCGGGAAAGATCTCGCCCTAACTATCCTTTCTGCATCAAAACGTTCGACCTAATGAACCGGACTTCGGTTGTGTAACCGAACGGACCCAAAGATGTAACTGCATCGTTGAGTGCTGGGTGTGACGTGTCGGTTGTTAGGTCAGGTCAGGTCAGTCCACGCATTGACAGGAAGAGAAAATGCATAGCCCTCGCCGCGGCGGCCACTTCGGCACTCGCTGCAAGTTTTAGCTAGCAGCTTCGGCTACCGGCCTAACTGTAGCTGCATGCAAGCACATATCTTTTCAGCGGGATACAACGATAGCATCATATCCTGTTGGCGATCGATGGATCAGAGAAAGCATCCGCCGGTGATGCAAGGCTCATACCAGTTGGTGCACCATGGCATCGTTATTGCACACGTGGATTTTCACCGCTCTAATAAAGTAATCTAAGTGCTGTAAAGGCGTACATATATACTAGAGCCGTGCTATACATACGACAAAATATGTACGACTCATAGACGATGCTTAAAATATGGTCAGACATTCGTGCATACATCGGGCACGGGCCGCTGGATTTCGGTGTCGTGCATTCATCAGGCACCAGGATCATGCATGAAGCAGTTTCGTATGTACTTCGTTTTATGCTTTGGTTTCTCTTTCTGTTTTACTAGTAGCCTCGACGTACCCAGTGGTTCTGTGGAACTAATGTAATGTACATGCACGTTTGCATTACCACTTTCAATTTTGTCACATGTACTTGTAGACTGGCTACTCGCGCAGCACGCACGTGGTAATAACAGTAGTATATGGCAGTAACCGATCAGCCCTTTTTTGCTTCCGGTAATGTCCATACGGAATGCTGTGCACGTATTCTTCATCTTGGCTGGGAAAAGGATGCATGCGTACATGTTTACATGAATGGTACACCGATACACTTGTAACCGCGCACTCACGCACACTTGTTGAATTTTCACCACTGTGGCTGCCCTGGAATTCCACTACGTACTCGTCGTAGAGGTAGAGCGGGGACGGGGAGGGGCTCTGCTACTGCTATATATACACGGCTTGTTTCCATTCGAAAAACCACACAAGCACTGCCTTCTCTCCCTAGTCTTTTTTTTTGAAGGTCTCTCCCTAGTCTTTGGGAAGGAGAAGAACATACAGTAGATACATTCATCTGATCTGCTTAGTTACCGTGCTTTGTACTCGTGATCACTGATCAGGATGGCAGAAGGGCTCTTCTCCATGGCTCACCCGTGGGCCTCCGCCTTTGGCATCCTAGGTAGGCATGCATGCTGCTCAACTGTTGATGCATCATCCATGCATGTATTTCCAAGCCATTTGTTTTGTCACATGATTAAGCCTTACTGACACAAAGTGTCGTTTCCCATTCCCTTTTTCTGCAGGCAACATCATATCCTTCCTGGTGTTCCTCGCACCGACGTAAGTGACATAATCCTCTTGCATCTTTTGGCCGTACGTCGTGCATGCATGGTCACTTGGTCAGCACGCGTTCTTAGTTTCTGACGAGCTAAAGCTTATGCATGTGTACGTAGGCCGACGTTCCTGCGGGTGTACCGGAAGAAGTCGACGGAGGGGTTCAGCGCGGTGCCGTACGTGGTGGCGCTCTTCAGCTGCATGCTGTGGATCTTCTACGCGCTGGTCAAGACCAACTCCAGCCCGCTGCTGACCATCAACGCCTTCGGCTGCGTCGTCGAGTCCTTCTACATCCTGCTCTACGTGGTGTACGCGCCCAGGAACGCCAGGCACCGCGCCCTCGCCTTCTTCCTCCTCCTCGACGTCGCCGCCTTCTCCCTCATCGTCGTCGTCACCGTCTTCCTCGTGCCCCAGCCCAGCCGCGTCAAGGTCCTCGGCAGCGTCTGCCTCGCCTTCTCCATGGCCGTCTTCGTCGCCCCCCTCAGCGTCATCGTAAGCTCTACCACTACTGCTCTTGCTTGAGTGATCAAGACCATGAGATCTAACTAACTAACTATCCGGCCGGTGAATAATGCATGCATGCAGTTCGTGGTGATCAAGACCAAGAGCGCCGAGTACATGCCCTTCTCGCTCTCCTTCTTCCTCACCCTCAGCGCCGTCGCCTGGTTCTTCTACGGCCTCTTCACCAAGGACATCTACGTCACCGTACGTCTTCTTTGGCAAACGTCAATACGTTTCATTCTTAACTATCGATCCATGGATGTCACTCAATATATGGGTATGCAGCTCCCGAACGTGGGCGGCTTCTTCTTCGGCGTGGCCCAGATGACGCTCTACTTCTGCTACCGCAAGCCGGACACGTCGGCCCTGGTGCTGCCGACGGGGATCCACGACGTGTCCACGGAGGCGGCGGCGCAGCAGGAGGTGGAGCTGCCGGAGGGCACCCACCCGGCGGTGGCCATGCTAACGGTGAGCACGCTGCCGATGCTGGCGGAGCTGCAGAAGATGGAGCAGGAGATCAGCTCGCCCACCCCGCGCAAGGGCTACATCAAGGCTTTCTGATCGATCAAGGGCTGATGCACGCACGGGTGCATGCAGGAGATGAATCGCTAACGATTGGCGAACCGACCGCCAAAAGAAATACTTACGTTTATATAGTTCTTAATTTCAGTCGTTCGTTTGTAATGGTCTGTAGTAGTAGTAGCACATTCGTGTGTGTTGTCGTCCAAGGGTCTGATATACCGGCCGGCCGGGCAAGTGACTGATCTACCATTCCACGTCTGCCCTGGGAAATAAAGTTATAAACAGAAGCTCGCGTTCGTTGTTGATTCAGTGATGCCACAGCGAAGTGATACTGTACTATGTGTGTTATACATGGATTGTCCTTGTTTATTCGTACGTACTAGTATTGTACTGTGTGCTCCACAATGCACGAGAGAGGTGCCGGGTGCGTGTGCCATAGAAGCTAGGAGTGGGAGTTGTCTGATTAGTCGGAGTACAACTTTTTTTTAACACCGTGCCCACATATACACGCATACATTCACCTTGACGAACGAACGCATGCATACCCTACCCATATGAAGCACCTTTGAAATTGCCTCGTAGTCGAGAGGAACATCTCCTCCCACCGAACGAGACTTGAATCCTGGTGGGCTGATTGCACAACAAAAAACCTAACCAGCTAAGCTACGCTCAATTCGCGAGTACAAGGCGATCGAAGGCGATGTTTAGCATTAAAACCGGAAACTGAGCAGGAAATATAACCTATTTTTCTTTTTATTTTATTTTGCAAAGAGGCCAACGGCCATATATATCAATTTAAGTTTTTTTAGGGATATATGTCAATTTAAGTGATCGAGCTGAGTTTGGGGTTGGCGTCTACTTGGCGCCATCTGCGCCCGTTTTAGCCTATTTTGCAAAACATCTCACACACCCGCCGTTCCTTCGATTCCTAATGGGCCGATCCATGAAGCTCACGAGAGGGAAGATTCCTCCCCTGTTTTGGGAAGCTTCCAATCCAGTTTAGGGAAGCTTTTGGATCATTTTTTTATGAACCGGGGATTGTTCTGTTTTTTGATTTTCTTTTCCTTTCCTTTTTTTCTTCCCTTTTCATTCCATTTCCGATTTTTCCAAATGCATAACTTTTTTTCAATTTTATTATTACTTTTTATTTTTATATACATGAACTTATTTAAAATTTGAAAACTTATTCAATTTTTGTGAACTTTTCTCAAATTCAGTGAACCACTTTTTTCAAAACTCTTGAACTCTTTTCAGATTTATGAACATCTTTTCTGATCCCGCGAACTTATTCAAATCATGAATATATTGAAATTCATAAACATTTCCCCAAATTACGATTTTTATAAATATGTTTTTTTTGGAAATCTGTGAACTATATTCAAATCATGTTTTTCCCATTTCATGATTTTTTTGAATTTATCCAAATCCATGAACTTTATTGAATTCATGATTGTTTTAGTTTTTTTGGGTATTCCCCCAAATTTAAAAGAGTTTCGGGTCAACTGGTCAACCGTGCACCGAGCGAACCAAGTGCGCCCTGGCAAGCGACCGCGTCGCCATGTGGTGGGCTAGCCCATGTATGCGAGCGTGTGGGCGCCAGAATCCCTAACCGGCGGCGCACAATGTGCCGATTAGGAGGTTTTGCGTGTGCATGCAATGAGTGGCCGTTCGCCTGCGAGCCCTGCCACGTGTTGTTTTCCCGGTTGGACTCCCAACCCCTTCAGCTTGGAACCACCTCACTCATCCGTCCGGGACTGACGAGCCCAACGACTATTTATCACATTAAGTGAGTCCACAAGGATCTCTTGCGTCCATGTGAACAGTGTCGGCCTGGCCCATTTAGCGTGCGTAGATTCAGAAAAAATGGAAATAATGAGGGCACCCCTAGAATCGAACCCTGGTAGGGTTTTCCTAGGGTTCCACCCATCCTCTGGCGATTTTGCCAGAGTCGACGTCAACTCTCGTCGGATTGCCGGGGTTTCCCGATAATCAGCGAGATCAACCATTGCTCGGCGGGCGTACGCATGTGCATGGCTGAATCGGAGTCAAGGGAGATGGAGGCCCAGGGGGTAGATCGGGCGGCGGCAAGTGTGGCGATGGCGCCGGGTGGGGGGTTTGAATCGGAGGATGGCGAGCAAATTCGGGAGGTGGGAGCAGATGTGCAGGCAGGTAGAAGGGAAGGATTAGGACGCAGATGGGGGGGTTCGACGGATGAAGAGGAGGATTATGGTGAAGATGTTGGAGCCGATCCAGATCTGGAGAACCAATTTGCGGGGATGAGGCTGCACGGGAAGGAGGAAGAAGATCTTGATTTCTCGGCTGAGGTAGACGATCTGGTCAAGGACGTCCGATGGCTTGCACTGTTCCGAGTTCATACCACTAAACCTTTTAGTCATGCGGCACTCCTATCCCAGATGTGTAATACATGCATGAAAGCGCAGGGGGTCACTTTCAACATCAAGGGGCCTAATCTTTTCCTGGTGCAGTGTCACTGTTTAGGGGACTGGAGGAAGATTATGAAGGGAGGTCCGTGGCTGTTTCGAAGGGCACCGGTAGTTCTGCAGGAGTATGATGGTTTCTCGGATGTTATAGAGTATAAACTCAACATGATACCGGTGTGGACTAGGGTCAAAGGCCTGCCTGATGGTCTGACAAGGAAGCGACAGCTTGCTGAAAAAGTGGCGGCGGAGGTTGGCAATCCTCCTTTCAATGTGATTGTCAATGAGGGGCGCATCAACCCAGCTAGCACCCTGCGTGCAAGGGTGTTTATTGATGTGAATACACCTTTGGTTCGTTTTGTTCATATAACTTTGAAGGAACGGAAGAAATATAGCGTCTACTATGAGAAACTCCCAGATTTTTGCTTTGCGTGTGGCCTCATGGGGCATCTTGCGGATGAATGTGGGGATGGAGTGCATGACCCGAGATCCTTTGAATGGGGGGAGTGGCTGTTGTGGGAACCGGAGATTCCAGCGGGCCAAACTTATGGTGCCCGGGGAAGAGGTGACGGTGGAGCTAGAGGAAGAGGAAGGGATTTTGGTA